CGATTTCCATGTAACTTCTACAGATTTATAGATACTGCGGTGATTTCCACATGACTTCAATAGATTTCTTGTGACTGCGCTGATTTATGTATTGACTGCGGCGATTTCCATACTGATTGCGCCGATTTCCGTATGGATTGCCACTATTTTTCAAAATTGCAGGCATTCTGAAGGATTTTTACGACAATGTATGGCTTTCCAGTTGGTTTCCAGTAAAAAACATTAGCTGGGTGTTATATCAGGAGAACTAAATTTTCTATAGGACATGTATGGATCATACAAGAAAAAGAAAAACTAAAGTTTGTATAAAACGCGAAAAAAAAAGTGAAATTTGTTTTATGAATTAACTTTATTTTTTAATATTTTAAATAAGCCACAATTCTGTCAAACTAATTGTCAGTAAGTATAGTTTTTAGTTATTGAGAATAAATGTAATTAAAAATGAATGATTCTTGTGAAGAAATATATCTTAAATTAAAAAAATATTTTTTGTTTTGTTTTTTTAAAGTTTATTTTATTTAATAAATTAATAAAAATCATATCCATCATATCCACTCTTGTTGCATAAACTACTATTGTGGATCACTCTTTATAAACTCTTTATTTAAACATATCTACCAAAATTAAATAAACTCATACTAACACTGCACCTGTCAACTATGATTCTAAAGCTAAAGGGATGAATCAGGGTGTGTTTTTATACCTATAGTTTTTGTGTACTATTTTTGCAAAAAAATAATTCTTTCCGATTTTTAACATATAAATCTGATGTGTCCAACACATGACTTTCCTGTCTAGTTAATACAAGCTTTTTCCGGTTAATTTGTACAACCTACTATATCACCCCTGTAAATGTTTAGAGATTGTCCACACACATCTTACTCCAAATATTTTTTACATGTATTTATTGCTAACGAAAATATAGAAAAATGAAAATTTTACCATTTTTGTTAAATTTTTCAACTACGGTCCATTTTAAAGAAATATGTATAAAACAAAAATTATAGAGAAAGATATTCGCAAACAACTTTTATTTGAAGAATTTTTTCACCAATTGTAAATAACATAGTGTTCCTTAAAGTAAATAAAAACGACACCCTATAAAATACTCCCTCCCACCCCCAGAGCTTCGACTATGCCCAAAATTTAATCAGCTCACTGCAGGATTTATTAAGGCCTAAGTTTAGAATTTTGTATTTTTCTCTTTATCCGTTTTTGAGTCATTTCCAAAATCAAAATTTGAAATTTCCTCAAATATCATCGAATACGGTACATTTTAGGAAAATCATGTATGAAACAAAAATTATAGAGAATGACATCACAAACAACTTTTATTTAAATAATTTTCTTAAAAAATCGAAATTTGTGCACTTTTTGTCAAATTCTCGATTATGGGACCATTTTTGAAAAATTATGTATAGGTAGGATAAAAATTAGAAAAATATCATAAGCAACTTTTAATTGAAGAATTTTCTTCTTCAAGTGTAAATAACATATATTTATTTATTGGATTCTTTACAAACCTTATAAAAAATTAATAGTAATGTAGAGATTAAGTAACAACAAGAAATTTAAAAACAAAACAAACCTTAATATCTAATGAACTTAATTTAGTACAGACATCAACTTTCTTAGGCTAACATTAAAGATATCTGTTTGGGCCTCGCTAAGAAACTCATTGGTAACAGCCATCATCTTGTTAAAAGGAGATATGCTACTCACATCTATACTAAATAATGCCATTAAGTAGAAAAACGACCCTTTACAAAGTGCTTCGACTATGCCTAAAATCTAATCAGCTCATTAGAGAATGGATAAACGCTTAAGTTTAAAATTTTATGTTTTTCTCTTTATCCATTTTTGAGTTTTCACCATATTCGAAATTTGCACTTTTCCTCAAATATCTCGAATACGGTCAAAAATCATGTAAAATTGCACATACATCATCGCGAAAATAGTCAAAACAGATTTAGGGAACCCCAAAACGTAAAAATCCGTCGAAAACTCGAGATCGAAAAAATCATGATTCCTATACTTTCTTTATCTGTATACAGACAGGAAAGTAAAAAATGTATTCTGGCAATAAATTAATTCCTTTTTAAATAAAATACATTTTAAACCCTAATTAAAACGTGTATGACCCCCTATAAAATACATACAATTTTATTATGCATTACAAAAAATCAGGTGAAATGGAGACAATTCTGGACCACCTTGGAAATATTTTCTATACAAGTAGATCAGAAATTTGATGAAAGCCAAAAATAGCATTTTAAAATTAATAATAATTAATGGAATGACACTTTCGATAAAGGATTGCTAGGGATTGCTCAGCGACTGCGGGAGATTTCGGGGGGGGGGGGGACTGCGAGGGAATTCTGAATGACTGTGAAGATTTCTTAGCGATTGCCACTGATTTTGATGGGACTGCAGCGATTTTCGGACATTTTGTACATGTATTGCGGGAGTGATTCGCCCCTCGAAAAAACTTAAAATTGCAGAATTTTCACTTTAAGATTTTTTAAAAACCCAAAAAACAGGTGTAAAAACCTGTAACTGCCAATCCTGAAAGTAGTGACCCTTTCAAAGAGCAAGTGAAGTCTAAGTCTAGATGTGTTAGTTAAATCCGACAAATCAAAGAAATTTTGACTACCTAGGTACCTAACTCTTCAATTTTGTATTTCATTACAGGTAAAAATAAGGGTAAAGCAAACACAGTTAAACCACTATTTTTTGTATGTTTTTAATTTTGTTTCAAATCATCAATTCTCTTATTCCTATTAACTTTTGATATAAATTCCACTGTTAAAACTTGTAACAATAGTTCAAACTATCACATTGTTCTAAACTCAATATACCTATATGCCTTATCAAACTCTGACACGTTTATAGAAACAATGAAGGGACCAACAGAGAACAGATCCATACATTCATAATAAACCAGTTTATGTTGCATACTTAAATCAATATTAGACTAAACAAATCAATTAAATAAGTAGGTACATATTAACAATATAAAAAACAAATAACATTGTCATACATTACAGGTAAAAACACTCGAAACCCTCTTGAACATATCATCTAGGGTTCATAAAAATGTTGGAACCATATTGGACAGGTATAGGTGTAGTAAGAAGTGGTCCCTTTTTGAGAAAATTAGTAAATAAGTATAGGTACTTCGCCATTTTGTAATTTTGTGCACCTGACTAATAAATTTAACTTATTTCCCTTAATATTTGCGTACTAACATTGACGGCATACATTCTTACTGCCGCCAAATAACCATTCCGCTTTGTTGTTATACGCTGATAAGTTGATAAGAAAATTTGTTTACTATACAAAAATGTCACAGGTGAAACTCTTCGACTCACCTGCATAATCGAATGTGTCCGACGCAAATGACAATCCTAATAAGAAAATAACACTGAACACTCTTAGTACTAACATGTTTGTATAGTTTTTCATAAAAAAATATGCACCCCAAAAACTTTTCAAGATATCGAGAACAATTTCATATCGCGATTCGCGATCGTGAAACTAGTCTTCATATACGGACGGTAAGTTTTTTAGTCTGCCCAGTTTAGTTCATGCCAGTGGCGCTAGAGCAAAACACAAAAATCGATTGACAAACGCTTATTTGTGCAAGTGCAATTTTCTAATAAAACGTACTAGATCTTAGTGACGTCAAAGCGTATTATTTAAGGGGGTCTTATACATTTAATTAACGTAAGTTGTATTTCAGCACCTCAGGGGGTCGATTCTCGACTCGTAGGAATATTTTCCTATAGGAATTTTTGACATTTTTATATACATCGAAAATTTATGACATTTTCCTACACATAGGAAAGTGTCAAAAATTCCTATAGGAAAAAATTCCTACGAGTCGAGAATCGACCCACAGGGGGTTAATTTTTGAAATCATTCGCCATCCGACGTATGCGAAAACGTATACTTTTACCACCACAACTGTATTTTTGACTTACTCGATTCGTTTTCGCATACGAAATTGACATCACTTGCGAATAGACATTTAATAGGTTTTGCAACGACGACGTTTATTCATCTCGGTAAATCAGTTTCATACTAGGTTTCTATTGGTAGATCATTGAATTTTGCTGAAATAATCTACAACTCTTCGTTAGTTTGATCTGTTCGCAAAAAATTTATCGAAGAGCATTCAAAAATATACCTTTCTTGTCGCATGCGATAAATGTCATGCGCCAATTGACGCATACTACTTTTAGCAAATGGTTTCAAAAATTAACCCCCAGGAAGTAAAGCATGTTAAGTCACCAAATCTACATTTGTTAGTAGAGGCATTTTAAAGTTCACTTGTTTTAACAAAAAATGTAAAGAAACGGTGAAATTACTAAATATTGGGGGTCTTTGCAGAAGTCAATTGTTTGGTCAATTTATTTCGTTGTTTTGTTAGATTTTGTTTACTTTGCCCTAAAATTTTGGCTTTGATGTGATATATTATTAACCCCAAATTTGCAATACTTGGTTTGTCACTTGCCGAGTGATCCATAATTTTTTAGGGAAATGATGCAACTAGGTAGCTTACCTGTTTTCCATAAGATAGAATTTGGTATGGTAAATCCAAAAGTGGAGAAAACTATTTTTTCTGAAAAATGTGACTTAACGCACCTTACCTCTGAGGTGTTGATTTATTGTACGATAATGCAATAATAACGTAATTGTACATTAAATAACGAGTTTCATCAGACATTTGCTTGTACTAAATCAAGTTTAGAACGTGCACCGCACCTCCAGAGGATAGTTCTATCAAAGGTTTGTTCCAACAAGCGCGAAAACGACAATATTTCGGTACAAATCATGCGCTGTACACAAAAATATCATCCGCTAATCAATTTATAATTTAGGTTGGTGCACATGATCATATAGCAAGTTTACGTCTTACGTTTCGCGGAAAACCACCTTTATATCTAGTGACATTTAAATAAGAGGTTGGTAAACTGCATTTTTGCAAACGTTGGTGTCACTTCTTTTGACAATGACAAGAACAGAACTACAAAACTGTCATCAGTGTCATCAACTTTTTCTTTTTGATTTGTGCACTCGTGATTGTAGGTTGTCTTGTAAAATATGGCTCCGGTATGTTTTTATTTTAAAATATCTTTAGCTCTTGATACTCATCGGTGATTTTAAAATGTAATTCATAATTAAGAATATTTATATCTGTAAATATATTTTTGTATTTTTTTACTAACGCAAGAATTAACCATAAAATAGGCACGTGTAAAGAAGGGTATTTTTGCACTAATGAAATATTTAAATATGAAACTTAATTTTTATTCTGCTGTAGATGATCATCAGTGTTTCATCAAACGTTTTTAGTCTGGTCGAAACACAACTAATTTTGTTGTGGATTCCAGACAAAAGCTGCGGTTCCAGCAACCAAACCCCAGGGCAAGAAACCCCAAATTAGAGGAAAGGGTCTTAAAAAGAAGAAGGTCGCACTAAAATTTGTTATTGATTGTACCCACCCTAGCGAAGATAGTATTCTGGATGTTGCTAACTTTGTAAGTATCTTATGTATCGAATTGTTAAAATATCACAGTCCCAGCTCCACATGTAACCATTCAATGGACACTGTGGCGTTTTAATACTGTGAATATAAAATGCTGTGCTCGCTATGTTTGTTAGATTGTTACATGTCTAGTACAATACAAAGTGCTGCAACATTTAAATAACAGTTATACTTTGTATTTTAACATATTTTGAATAAGTTTGTTAAATGTGCATTTTTTACAGGAAAGTTATTTAAAAGAAAGGATAAAGATAAATGGAAAGACAGGAAACTTTGCAGCTGGAAAAGGTGGTCAACATGCAGTAACTGTGAACAGAGAAAAGAATGTAAAAGTTGTTCTTAACTCAGAAATTCCATTCTCAAAAAGGTAAGGACTAAAAGAAGCATTGTAAATTCAAGAAATAATTTGATAGTTATTCTAACTTGAACCGCAATCCAGCTCCATGTGACATTTTTAGTGGTTAATGTGGCGTTTAAATTTGCGAAAAATATATGCATTGCTCGCTATGTTTACTAGTTTTATATTATAAATTTGTGAATACACAGTACTGCAACATTTAAATTATATCAAATTTTAAGACGCCACTCGTTATCTATTCTTTTAATGTGCTTATGCTATTTATTTTGTTTCAGGTACCTTAAATACCTTACAAAAAAATACTTGAAGAAAAACAACCTCAGAGATTGGTTGAGGGTAGTTGCTTCTGGAAAAGAATCTTATGAACTCAGGTACTTCCAGATCAACAACCAGGAAGATGATGATGAAGAAGACAATGAATAAGTTCATTGTAATTTATTATTTTTAAATAAATAACATAAAATTATATTTTTTTATTGAGATTATTTCCTAAGGTTATTGGGACACAGTTCAGCAAATATTTGAATACAAACAAGCATGGTATAAATAAAAAATTAAGGTTGCTATTATTCAAGGGTGGTTCCAGGGATGAAAAATTCTTACAATTTGTGAGCCTTTAAAAAAAAAAGGAAGAATTGTGAATTTATTTAAATGTCATTTATTCAAAGGTAATTCTTGATATTTTTAATGTATTTTTTTGTAGTATCAAGGAAAAATCTAAGCTACCCTATAAACTAGTGAAAAAGGTTGGTATGTGAAGGGAACGCCTTGTTTAAATTTAAAATGACCAAGATTAATGTCATTTGAGAAGGCGTTTTATTACCTATTAACTGTAAATAATGTTAAATGTGCTTTATTGGTTTTAACTTAAATTTAAAAAGTTATTACATCATTGTAAACTGAGCCAGCCCTAAATTATCTAATTAACTTTCCTCTGATATTTTAAAAATTCCATAATTCAAGCATATATTTTGTCATAGTCTGAAATATATTTTTTTAAAGATTACTGAAAGTGCATATAATCATGAAATTATGGGAAACAGTGCTTATCTCAACTAAAGAGTAATTTTATTTATTGTTGAATTTTTATAGTTTACACAAATATTGTAGTAAGAGTTATTTTTATTTACCAGCATACATAATTAATGCATTTTGAATATTATTGTATTTTCATGGTAAATAATAAAATTACTATTAAGTCATAAAATATCCTACTGGTCTCTGCTGACTTGTTAGAAAAAGTCTATTTTTCGTTGCTTCACTTAATTTAGTTTAAATTTAATGAAGTCAAAACCTAATGAAACAAATTTGCAATTAAAAATGAGAAAATGAAAACTCCAATTTCCACTATTAAATTAAGGAATCCATACCCACAACCCCAAAGAGAAAACAAAAAAATAATATGAAAAAGCCTAATGTTCTTCATCAACAATATAAATTAACCTTTCTGAGCAGTTTCATGAATATTTTACCATAGAGAAATTAGTGCAGGTTAAACAAATATTCCCACTATATAAATGTTTTTAAGTTCTGATTCGGGTTTCTCTAGATTTGTTAATTACCCTAGATATACTACAAAAATTGGAAATTACATTTATAGTGTCAGAATTTACGAAAACTTTTTCTTGTAAGTTTCCAAGATTCAAAATACCTAAGTACCAGTTCATATATTTATGATTTCAATTTGAGTGTAGAACTATTTCTTGTCATAGATAAAAATTCGGTTTGGAGCCTCCCTTGCAAGTATTAAATAAAAAGTCTTAAAATATAGTTTTATCACAGACATTAAATTATTTAAAAAATATATATAGTTTTTAAATATAGTACCGGGTACTATAAAATCTAAATCTGGTAGGTGATTTGATGATCAATATCTTCGAATCCTATTCCCAGATAATACACCAAATCCCAGAGATAACCACAATATCTTTTGTGGATATCCAATATATCCACAGGATATCAGAAATATTCCGTGGATCTAATATGGATATCCAAATGTCCGTCTATATCCAGAATATATAGAAGATATCCTAATGAATATCCAGCAAAATATCTAATGGGTATCTTCCAGAAAATACAAGAAATCCCATTTATTTATTATATTATTTTATTAACAAGTCAGCAATTATATATATTACTAAACACAATACCATTTTAATTAAGTACCTACAATATGAAAACATTCAGAAGTAAGTAATAAATTATTAAAAATAAGTAATTAACAAAATCTTTACACTAATTTTTTATTTATATGACAAAGTTCAATTTATTTGTTAAAATTAATCGTTATAGTACAATTTGTATTATTAACAATATTGATTCCTGATGTGGATGGAACATTCTCATCAGAAACAATAGTATTTATTTCTGTATTCTATTTTGTTGCAATACTTGTACAAAATTCTCACCACCTTGAATCATTCTTGCTCCACAGAATATATTTTGTGGATATTCAATATGGATATCCAACCAAATGTCCGTCTATATCTCAGGATATAGAAGATATTCGGATATTCAGCAAAATATTTTATGGGTATCTTTAGTAGAGGATCATAAGTAACCAATGATTACTGAATAACGTCGAAAGAAAATAGCAGAGATAAAAAATATTTTCAACACTGCATGCTCTGCCTTTGATTTTGCCCACTAAGGAGAAAGTCATCCTTATTAAGACTCTTCAGCAATAAATGGAAATTCTCGACTCCAGTCTCTAATGGAGTATGATTAGGACACAAATTTCGATCGAACTCAATTACGGCGGGTCGAGCATGAGTAGATGCCAAAGTGGTATCGCCATCTATACTTAGTAAGCAAAATCAAATAACATCTAGTGGATATCCACGATGGTTTGCGTTCGCGCCTAGACTTTGATATATTTAGTGGATGTTCATGGGATATTGAATACACCTTAAAAAAATTAATTTTAAAGGTGGATTCATAAACTACGTTCAGTTCCCGCTCAGTTGCAGTTGGCAAGACATAACCACAAATTCCACAAAATAAAATTATATTTTAGTGTTATTTTTGTTTTAATTATATTGGTAGATGGTGTTGGTTATAAAATAATTATGAATCTGTTATAACTTCTTATCCAAAACATACTTACCGTGTCATTTTGCTCTGTTTATGTTGAACTCGAACTGAACGTAGTTTATGAATTGACCTTAAATATCTGAACAGTACTATTAGCCACAATGGCGTAATTTTTTAATAATTTGCTATATAATTACTATTATTTATGGACATTTGCATGTCTATAAATTACATCTCATAGATATAAAATAGATATCGACCATGGACTGGACATTCAGTGGATATTGGGATGTTCAGTAGATATCCAAAGGATTTGGTGTGCTGTCTGGGTATCTTCTAATTTTCTGAGCATTTAGAATGGTATAAATACAAAAATTACATTTAAGAAGAAAAGTGAGTTGTATTTATTAGTCTTAAATTAATATAGTTTTATCACAGATAATAAATTATTTAAAAAAATAGTTTTTAAATAGGGTATAAAATCTAAATCTGGTAGATGATAACACACATTTTCAATTTGAAATGACATGAAAAATGAATTTTCTTTTAGTATGAATTTCCCTTTAGTTTTATTTTAAAAACTAGTAAGCAAAGTAATTATTATTTTTGTAAAGTCAGTATAAAGTCTGGCATTTTATGCACATCCAGTTGATTTGTTCACTCATATCTTTAAATGGTATATGCCAATTATCTCCAATTTTCTGAGCATTTAGAGTAAATGCTGGTGGATATCTGAAAAAAAAAAATAGTATTTGCGTAATGCCTCTTATTTAATTATGGAAGAAAATACACCATTAACTGCCATTCGCACCGCTAGTATTTAAGAAATAAGCCAAGCTTAAAATGAAATTTTCCATTGACAATGTCATTTTAAGCTTCGCTTATTTAACTACTAGCGGTGCGAATGGCCCTAACTTGCATGAACTATAGAACAAATACCTACCTGAAAATTGGCTTGCCAGGCCCAGTAACTTTCATCAATTGATACTGCCTCTGGGACAGCCACTTATTAAATAATATTCTTAATTTTGGATCCTTTAAAAGAAATTTATGTCCTCTCATTAAATCTCTTGTGACTATAATTGTGTCTTTTCCAGAATTCAAAGCACAATAGAGTAAATATGGGTCATCTTGGGAAATGTTTTTTGTAAGAAATACAGTTGAATTTTGTGTAATATAATTCCAATTTTCTTTATGCCATTGGTTCATGTGGTACCTTCCCACTACCAGTACTTTCTTATCTTGATGAACAAAGTGTGAAACTAATGAAGCCACCTACAAACATTGAGTAAAGATTACTGATATCAAAATTAATAGTGATATTAAAGTATTATTTAATAAAAAAATATATTTACTAGACCAGACAACACTTGAGTTGAATGTCCAGTTCCAGCTGAATAAGCAACATTTAAACCATCTAAAACGACATCAAATTCCTCTTGTTTATCTACAAATTCCTTGAATCTTCCTACTTCTTTTGGATCTGTTTTTGAAAATATATCCTTTCCAATAATCACATTTTTAAATAATGTATTTTTTAACTCTGCAAATTCTTCATCCGTAAGTCTAAATTTTTTTAGATAATTATTGCAACCAGTACACATTCCTTTATTGGTTACCTAAAAATATTTAAATTAAGAATGTATGAACTTATAATCTTGTGAAATTCCCATACCCTCGTAGACATAGTTTCCAAATCTAACTCTTTACCTAATTCAGCTATTTTTAGAGGAACCCCACTTGAATTCAATACAATATCATTTTCTTCCAAAAATACAAAGAGTTTTTCTAATTGACTGATACGATTTTTGCCTGTTTTCAACTTCTTCAAATAATTTATATAAGCAAAATATACGATTTCGTCAATGTTTCTGTTATACAAAATCATTTCTTGTAGTAAAGACCAGCCTAAACTTTCTTCGTTATTTAAAAATGCTGCAGAAACGATGTTACTATATGCGTTACCATTTGGAGTTGTAGTTACTTTAATTTCGTTAAGTAAATCAAGACATTTTTTCCATTCATGGGTTAGAGATAAGGCACCAATTGAACCTTCTAGAGTTATGGAATCCAAAATTTTATGTTGTTGTCTTATTTCACCGAATTTTTTTAAAATAAATTGTTCTTGATCTTTTTTTATCGAGTTGCCCGACACAAAACGATCTTCTTTATTAATAAAATAAAGTAACTTGAAATATTTACCTGATGCGGCAAGTGTAAACTTAATATTCTCTTTATTCAGAAAATTAATGTAAGACGATCCTAACGAATAATTATTTTTACTTATACAATGTCCTAAAATAACAGCATCAACACTATTTTCTGTAATTTTGTTGTCATTAAGAAATTCTTGTCGAATTATTTTCCATTCAGATGGAAGTTTTTCCTTATTTATTTCAAGTTCGTCCAACAATGCATTTCGATGAACTAGTTTACTTTGAAAGGGTCTTCGTTTTCTAACTGAATAATTATACATCAATCTCGAAGTTTGTGAAATTGATTTATAAACATTTTTGAGCAACATTTTGAACAGAAAAGAAAAAAAGTAAGGTTAAATAGGTTGTTAAAATTTTGTAAACACAACACAAGTAGCGTTCGGTTTGGCGGTTCTGGAACGGGACAGGAGCGGAGTTTTCTAGGGTGCTTTTGTGGTGCTTTTAAATGACATTTATGTGTGTTGAACTGTCACTAATCGGAGTAAACCATGAGTAAACCGAACGCTAAAAGGGTCGTTTGGAGTTAAAAGTGTTAAAAGTCTTAAAGGAGCTGGTAGACCGAACGCAATGACAGACACGAGGTTTCGGATATTTCAACATTTTTAACACCTTTTACACTTCGTTTTTTGTTTCTTTAGGTTGCTTCAAAATTTGTTACCTACCGAAGTTTAATTTAAATTACTAGAATTATATAATAAATATTAATAATAATTAATATATTAATTATATTATAAATAAACTCGAGCACAGGAATCAGATAATACCTGGAGCGCGTTCAGGAAACACGCTCCATCCAAAAAGAGTGCGATCAATTTGGTCTTGGTTCGTTCAATAACAGTCAAGCGTTCAATTTGGACATTTAGGTCCGTACTATGGGTCCGTATTTATAAACAGAACTCAGCTGAGTCGGACTTGGGTAAGTCGTCCTTAAACTGTTTGGTTCAACGTATCTAAAGTTCGCTATTCTCGTTCAGAAAGTCGAGTCAAATTAGTCTGGAGTGCACTACTCTTTTTTACCCAGTTTAGACTGGTTTCATTTGAGCAAATTTGACAGAACGTAGACACGGCATGCCGTGATGTAGAGTTCTTTTGCAGAAGTTGTTGTTTCATATTATTTTTGTATGTCATAAAGGTGTTTCTACATAAAATTTTATAAAGTTAAATTTGCTTCAAAATAATCTAAAACTACACGAGTCACGAGTAACAACACTAACAACGGAAAGAAAGGAACATCGAACATTTTAAAATGTCTGTAAACAAATAACTGTAAAAGCTTTAATTTTCAAATTCGTTGACGTTTACTTTCGTTGCCATTCGAAAGTTTTGGGCAATGAGAATTACTCTAGAGTAACCTGGGCAAACGATCTAAGAAAATTAGTCTGCTCCCGTGTAAAATCATCAGGACAGGGTAGCTATTCTTGAATTTGAGGGAATAGAAAACCGGTTTTGCCTCTTTATCTGCAACGCGCAAAATTTATATTTTTGTCTCATTCTTCCCTCAAAATTTCTACTCCCTGAAATTCAAGAATAGATACCCAGGGCACATACTTTGATTTTCTCTTAGTGGGACAGGGATTCTTATGTGCGTACTCAACACGTCTCAACATGTGTCGAATTGAGAGATGAGAATCCCAATGCTGAACGCGCTCCTGAGAGTTTAGGTTCTTTCGTTCGCTATTGGTGAATTACACCAGTTACACCACCTTATTTACCCTAATTTACATCCTTCTTATTCTTTATACACATCGTCGAGTGTAATTTACTCCTGTTAAATAGCTGGTGGAGAAAATATCCACCACATCGCCGACAGGAAGGTATAGTGGGTTTTACACCGGGCCAAACGAAAGGTTTAGTGTACGTTGGTGTAGTTCATTCCTACACCAATGGGACGAACGAAAGAACCTTTTATGTCCGGTCGGTGGTTGTCACTGGTTATTCGTCTCAATTGTCATTTGTCAACTCGATCCGATAACAACCGAATCGATCAATCCGAGACGTTGTGGGAGAATATTTTTGGTAAGCGGCTTTTTTTTTATTCGATTTTATTTTAAACTTATTATTCTTATTTAATATCGCCGTTCCTTTGGGTGGGTTAAAGATTACCGTAAGAGCTGGAACCATTAAGAATTAATTGAAATTTAAGTATCCTGAATGCCTACCGAAACCAAAACATTAATACATGCCAATGTGATAGGTTAAGAATTATTGTAACTTGTAACTACATTTTTTGTAAAAATAATTTTAAGGCCTTGTAATAATATATTACCAAGCTTTTGATTATCTAGATAAAAACAACTCGAAGTTAATTTAATTAAAAGTCACATCTTTTTCATGTGAATTAACTTATGTACTTAAATGTGTAGAAAACTTGAAACGCCACAAATTTTTTTGAAATTTTGCACAACCTTTCTAAAAATCACTACCTGTTATGGTTTTTATTAGCAATTTAAACGTTATGACTGATTTATCGAAGGAGAAACGTGTAATTAACGAATATTAGACCATCTAAAGAACAGTTTACAATGCAATTCTCATCCAAAACATTTACAATTTTCATTATTTAAAACTGTGGTTATGAAAAAACTAAGCGCACGTGTATCACTTTTATAAACAAAAAATATGAATTCTGTATCTGCAAATTAATAATGACAATTATCTTTTAAAATAAAAATATTTCACAAATTGTCTCAAATCAAAGCTCTTTTATGTCTTACACTGTTGAAAAGTCGCACAAAAAGTTTAGTATCCAATTATTTATTATCAAAAATACAGCAATTCATTTCTCATCAATTTCCTTGCCCTAATAATATTTTGTAATATAACTATTGATGTTGTTTTACCCACCCAGAATCCTTATTCCTTCAAGTTGATAATATTAATTGAAAAATAGGCTTATATTTATTTAATTTTTTTTGTGTCATTAAGTTGCAAAAGATATAGAACTTAAAGGTATTTTGTTTACACTAGCAATACCTACAAGTAGGTATGCTTAATTTTCTGTAATCGAAAATAGCTCAAACTAGACATTTACTCTCATATCTAAAGTGGTATAGTTATATCTGGTTGAAATCGAGAAAATTAAAAAAATATAGCTATATTGATTAAAATAATTTTAATGCCTTTATTTTTTGTTTATCTTCTTGAAAAGTGCCTCAAAATTGCTATTAACCATTAACATAATATCTGATTTTCATGACAGAATGCATTTCAAATCCGTATTTGGTGAGCACATTTGTCTCTAAAAAATTGAAAAGTCTCAGAAATTTTGAGCTATCTGGATATTTATATATACCATTTTGTAGAGTTCAATGATAAAAGTGCAATGTCTCAAACTGCATATTCATAGCTCAAACGGTAGCCTAAATATTTAATTTAAAATTTAATTGGGTTTGTTACATTTATTATAAACTTCATTCTCTTGAACTCAACACCCTGGCGATCCCAGTTTGTGATGTTCTGATCATTTTTGACCTCTTTGAGTCATATGATTATTTGACTGACTCTTGGTTATACAGGTTAGGAAAAAAGTGTATGAGCCATAAGGAATAGACACAGAAAGTGCACATCTATTTCTGTACTTTGTGCACAACACCAACATTACATACCTACCACTTCCCCTGCATTCAATATTGCATACTTTTACCAAACATCAAGCTTTGAGCTAAAGTTTAGTCAAAGGTTTAGTAATACATGTACTACGTTGGGATGTTGTTACCTTTAATTAGATAAGGACAATATTTATGCAGTTTCCCCCTGACGGGATATTTCATGGCCGAGATACTGTTTCAATCTTTTTTGATAGAAATATTTGTCTAGAAAGAGTTACACATGTTCTGAACTTTGAATTTCCAAGTAAGTTTACAGTACGGCAAAATTGAGATGACAAGTCAGAATTTATTTATTTATTTACGGAAAATCTCCTTTTACAAAATAATTATTATCAGTAGATATTTTAAACCTAACCTAAAGTATCACACAAAACAGAAAAAAACTTAAATATCTTAAATATCACAAAAAACTTAGAAAAAAAACTTAGAGCTAAAGCTAACTCAATAAGTACTCCCTCCAGTGGCGGATCTAAGCAGGAGTGGGCCTCGGTGCAAGAAGTGCTTGTGGGCCCCTCTGGCTTCAAAACCAATATGTAAAAAAAAATCACGAATGGTTTGGATTATTTAATTTATTTATAAACTATTAATAACAAATATAAAATAAAAAATAAGTATAAACAAACAGATACTTTCTAAATAAAACAAAAAGAAAAACCTAATAAACTAGTAGTACCTATCTATGTATCTATTATCACAGATTATTAGCTAATCTGTGGTATATAGTATCACAGATTAATTGTACAAATCCGTGAATGTTATTTTTAATATTTTTATATTTATACTTTATAGCGCCCTTTTTCTAACTTTGGCATTTGCAAATCGATCTATTAAATTAGAGATGTCTAAGTTAGATGCCATTTTACTTTCTATAGATAAAATTGATAAATCGCGCAATCGCTGCTGACTTATTGTAGATCGCATATAGTCTTTTATCATTTTAAGCTTACTAAAAGATCGTTCCACAGAAGCAACTGTTACAGGAAGGGTAAAAAATAAAAGAAAAACCGTATAAACCTCGCAAAAGTCTGCTTCCATAAACGCATAATTCTTAATAATAAATTCAAAGAGTTGTCTTATGGACATATCTTCTTTAAGGTCATGTTTCATTAAATCTAAAATCATGAGAAACTGATTTACAAAACAATGAGATAAAACTTTCGGATATTTTTCGCAAAATTCTTCACATCGGTGTAATATTTCTTCTGTTGAGCTTACAATTAAATAACGCGGTTCTAAAAATTCAAAAGTTTGTTTCACGGCGAGCATAGCAGAAAATCTTCTAGTAATCTGATTGCGAATAATGTCGATGACAAAGTAATAAACATTAATCTTAAAAAACTCCTCGCTGCTTTCGAAACGATGATCAGAAGAAAGTTCATCAAAGTGTTTTTTTACTTTTCTTTGCCTTTTTGCCTGAAATGTCGGTTCAATACTTAATTTGGTGGCCAGATCTATGGCTTCAGATTTTATATTGTCGTAAGATTTTGGGTCTCTAAAAGTAGCTATATGTTCACCTTCACGGTCTAAAACTGTCGTTACTTGATTCAAATCAATGTCAACTTTTTGTAAAGTTTTTGATGCTAAATTAATATGATTCAAAGTTCTAAACATAAAAATCGTAACAAAAATAAATTCAAAAGTACTCATTCTTTTTTTTAAAGAAGAAGCATCCGCAATTTCATCTTTTTTCGATGATTTTAGTTCAATCTCAGTAAGAGCTTTTAAAATATCATATAATCGTAATTTAACTGCTAAAACCGACTGTATACGCCCTGACCAACGGGTTGGATTGAGTTTTTTTAATGTTATTTGTGACTCGTCGGTAAACGATGACAAAAGGTCCCACCGTTTAATACTATGTCCAAAAAAACTATATAAGTCTTGAAGTACTGCGAAATATGCGGAGATTTCACTACAACCTGATACGGCATCATTTATTACTAAATGAAGATTATGGTCAGCACAATGTATATATTCGGCGTTTGGCTGTATTTGTTTAATTTTGGCTTGTACACCGTTGTATGCACCACTCATCACGTTAGCACCATCGTATCCTTGACCGACGCAGTTACTCAAAGGTATGTTTAGATCTTTTAATATACCCAAAATTGATTCAGACATACCTTTGGCAGATTGATCTTGTAGATCATAAAACCCTATGAAGTTTTCCTTTATTTCAAAACCTATAGCTATGTTATTTAAATCTCTAATTATTTGAACTGTTCTTATAACAACGCTTAACTGATCTGTTTTTGCTATGTCTTGCGTGGTGTCTAACATGAGAGAAAAAAACGGAGCTAAATTTATACTGGAAATTATTTTTTCTAAAACAAATTTAGAATAACACTGAATAAGTTCATTTTGAGTCGTTTTACTTAAATACCGCACAGAGCCTGAAGGCATGGTTACAACTTGTTTCATAACAGGATCATAGTGTGATAATAACCATTGTTAGAAAATTGCCACTTAAGTTGTCGCTTCCAAGCTTTTCACGATGTCCGCGAAAAGCTAAAGAAATCTTAGCTAAAGCTAACGTTATACGAAACAGTCTTTCTAAAACTTGCTTCCAAAAAGAAACTTCATATCTTGCCTTTTTTTCTAATTCTTTATCGACAGTCTGGTTAGTTTTCCATAACTCAAAAATACTGCAAGACTGGATATGCATTTGAGCTGTGCTGTGCTCAACTATTCTAGAAGAAATGTGCTGCCAGTCTCTTAATCCTCTTCGCCACTGATTATCACCAGAACCAGAAGAAAACAGCCAGCAAGGAACACAATAAGCAGCATCTAGAACTTTTGAATAGAAGAGCCATGTGCGCGGAACTACACCATATTGCGTTACTGATGAGTAATATTTTTCACTAAAGCGCCTGTTTCCTTGTTTTGGATCTTTTGGGTATGGACCTTTGGGTTTGTTAGCAGGCTGACTGATAATAAATCGCTTATCATCATCACAAAGTTCATTTTTGTAATGTCCTAAATCTGTAGATTTTTCAGACGTTCCACCAGTTTCAATAACAGTCGTAAAAGAAAAGTTTTCCGACTCGTTAGAATTATTTTCTTCTTCTAAATTAACAATTTGCATTTGTATCTCAGGTAGTGGCATGGTTTCTCTTTGTGATGTCTCAGTCTCAATAATATTCGCTTCGGGATTTTCTTGTAATGAAGGTGACAAACTCGAGCTCTGATCGTTTTTTGGGATAAAGTATTTATCGATCTTAGGCAATTTTTTAGATTTATCAAGATTTTCTTGTTTCAATTTACGCTTTTCTGCTCCACTCTTATACTTACGCTTATCCATTTTATATTTGTCTACCTTACCAGTGGTAGGCCACCACCTTTCAGTACAATTTCGTTTTTTTTTTGACAAGCTAAAATTAAAATTAAATAAAAATTGCAGGTGCTAAAATAATAATAGAAAAAATCGGTTTACCTTATTTTTTCTGCGTTTCAGAAATTAAGATGCACGTTAGCACGTTTATTTACTTCCAAATAAAACAAAAAGTCACAACAAATAATATTATAGCCACTCAGCCACTCACCAGTAAATAGTAATCAGTGAAATGGACACATACACATCTCACATCTAATATGCCGACAAAGGGATTTACAGAGAATGAAAACATCCGCCGGAGCGACATCGATCATCGATCGTGTCAACAATAATCAAAATTCTTACAAAAACGGAATAAAAATCTTTATTATTAGGAACAGTTAGTCTCTATTCTTTAATAGATGGCGTTACTAGTGTTATTATATATTATTTAAACAGCCGTAATTTCAATTTACAAACTGTGATTGATTGGGTATTTTAGAACTTTGTGTACGGGAGAGTTGGCCGGGGGCCCCCCCTCACCTCGGGGCCCCTGTGCACTGCACCGAACTGCCCGGTGATATGTCCGCCCCTGACTCCCTCAGCTGATTTTTAAACCTAAAACTCCCAAAAGATCAGTGTCTGTTAATTTCATTTCCTTGCCTTTGAAATCTGGTTAAAGGACTGTTGAGTCCGTAGTGGAAGCTAATTGAAAATAATGGTTTCTCTCTAATATTTATGTTGTTTAATCTAAAGTTTATTCGGACAAGCTACATTCCCTTCCAGGAGGTTACAAAGAAATAAAAGATCATTACTAATTAACGTTTTCTCAACTGACAATAAGTTTAAGTTTAAGTGGTTATTAAGCTCCCTCTTAGAAAGATAAGGCATATGTAACCTCCACTGACAAGTTCTTAGAAACCTATTTTGAACTGCTTCTAAATTTAAAATATGAGTCCGGTAATGAGGTGACCAGACTGGTGAAGCATATAAGAGGATGCTGCACACTAGTGTTAAGTAAAGGGTTCGGAATGTAGGCACAGATAATTCCCTAGAGTTCCTGGTCACAAATCCCAATTATATGCTTACTGGCAAATCTAAAAATGGGAGGAGTTATCTCAGTTAACACAAGTGAACACAAATATATCACTAAAACAATAGTATCGAAGTTCAGCCATTAACTGAGATAACTCCTCCCATTTTAAGATTTGCCAGTGGGCATCTAATTCTGACTTGCCATCTCAATCTTGATGTACTGTACCAAATTACATTTTATTATCAAATGATTAGTTGTAAATATTTTTTTTTGCATTTTGATGTCATTAAGTTCCAGTTGATTCAGAATAAGCCATTCATTTGCTTTATTAATTGTATTGCTGTGGTTGAGTTCAAGTTCATTGAAATTGAAGAGATATGAAATTACATTGTCAGCCAACATAATAGAGTTTATATAATTCATGCGGTCAGAAAGATCGTTTGTATAATTATAAATAGTAGTGGTCCTAGAACTGACCCTTGTGGTACTTCATGCTCCAAACGATTCGAACTAGAAGTTACATTATTTTACAATACTGTTCATGTTAGAGGCTTCGCTAAGAATCCGCCTGTATAGTTGAGCACTTAGCTGCGATAGGTAGTGCTTTATGCAGTGTTGATTGTGCAAAATATGAAAAATTGTGGTATTTCCTTTTTCTTCAGATTGTCCTTAACTTATTTTACCTTCTAGCCGCTATGGATCCATTATATGTCGTACCAGAGACCATACTAGGCCAGCTTAGATGTGCGCTATGCGATAGCTACTTATCGGTGCCTCCTGTAGCACTGATCTCTGAGGATGGGAATCAATATAAATGCGGTAGATGCAGCTCAATTAAAACAGTCATCAACACTCGGGCGACTATCTACGAATCGCTAGCCAAGCTCATGAGTTTTCCCTGCAACTTCGCAGACTGCGGGAAAAAGATACCGTTCGTCGATGTCAGAGATCATGAGAAAGTGTGCGAACAAAGAACCGTGATTTGTCCGAAAGCGAATTGCAATGAAACTATTAAAGTGCAGAAAATTGGATCGCATTTCAAAGAAAAGCATAATGATTCTTACCATCAGAACATATTTTTCATTAAAAACGTGTATGCTTATTACAACATCGATGTGTTGGAAAAAAATGGAAAAACGTATGTTAGCTTTTTTGATTTTGACGATGTTAATTTCGGTTTGAGTGTATGTTCTACCGATCCAACCGATAATTCTCTATACGAAATTAAACTTAAATCTGAAAAAAGTAATTTTGGAATAACTATCAACAGCCAGAATGTAATATTGTTTAATGAAAGAGAGCATTGTTTTAAATGCGTCAGCAGTACTTGCAAGTCTAAGTTTCATATCTACAAAGACAATAAAAAGGAGATTTCAAAAAGAATGACTACTAAAATTAACAGGGATTGTGTGAAGAGGATGTTTGGACCTGGATTGATAACTTATACTATTAATATTGTTGAAGAAGGTAAGGTATCAGTGATCTGTCAATGGTTTTTGTTATTAATGGTATTGGACTCTGTGCTTTTAAATATTTCTACATATAGATCTTAAACCTCACCTTTCTACAAAAAATGGTAGGCAAAAAGAACTAGATATAGAATGATAAGGAATAGAGTAATCAGACGGAAGTCTACTGGCACCAGGACCAAAGATACTTGGGACATGCCCTAGGATGAAATAAGACAGAAGTACAGTTTTTTTGAAAAACTTCAAGAAAGAATGAAGCCAAGAATCATTTGTGTTTGCAACTAAAAGGAATGCAATTCAGTACTATATGGGTGGTTCCAAAATCACAGAAGGTATAGGAGTGTATGGGCCTAGAACCAGGTACTCTGAAAGAGTGGGTAAATACACAAGCATCTTACACGCAGAAATTCACGTCATTGGGAAGTGTATCTATCTCAACATCGAGAGAAACAATCGTAGACAAGAGATTATCATCATGTCCAATAGCCAAGCAGCTGGAAGAGGAAAATATAGTTACTCTCACTTAGGTCTCAGGACATAATGGGGTAAAGGGTAACAAGATTACAGAATCTCACAAAGAAATGGGCTCAAACACCCTTTATGAAAACTGACAGTTTTGTGGTATCAGCAGTAACACAATATTAGAACAGAACAGAAGAAGAACTAATAATTGGGACGATATCTTGGACTAAGATACTTTTAGGAAATTAAAACCAGAAAAGATCCAAACATGTATCTGTCTGAGCAAGAACAGGGATTATAACAGGGATCCTTACCAGGAATTGCCGACTCAAAGGACACCTTATTAAACTGATACTAGTAGAAGATAGTAAGTGCAGATTCTGTGAGGAGGAGGAGGACGAAACCTCCATTAACATTTTTACTGAATGTGTAGAACTCCAGAATTCAAGGGCACTATACTTAAGAGCATACCAAATAGTGTAATCTACCTAACTTGGAGCCACTCCAAATCCTATATTTTCTTAAGAATATAGGATTGGAAGGGTCGTTATAGACATGAAGACATTCCTTTACTGCATTAGTAATAGAAGAGGACACAATAGATATTTTAGGTTGTAGTGTATACCTCATACCCCATACATTATATAATATTTTTGAAGAAGGTAAGGTACCCATGATCTTTCAGGTGTTTTTGTTATTAATGATATTGGGCTCTGTGCTTGTATACATTTCTACAAACAGATCAATCTATCAATATTTCAACTGGCGAACTTCTGATACAGACACAAAAAATGTGAAGAATTCGAGGAATTTTGTGCAGCACTATTAGACACTGCATTTCAACATTGAGCTCAGAGAAAGTTGTGGTTAAGATTATAAACATACAACAATAGGTAAAACACTTACATATTTTCAAAAGGTTAATGGAAAAGAACTTCAGCAGCATGGTAAATAATGATGAGAAATTCAAAATATATGCGCTAATCAGTAAAAAATTATAGAAACAAGAACATTTAAAATGCAAGGACTTACTAAAAAATCTAATCATTGTAAGGAAAATAAAGAAGCACATACTATATGAGTTATTAAAAGTATTACATGGTATAAAACTCAGTAATTATAAATAAGAATATCCCAGGAAAAATAATTATGAATTAAAAGATTACCAATTATTTTCTGATAGATGGAAACATAGACACATGGAAATTGATTATAGTCACACTAAAACACAACTACGAAATAGGAAGCATTTTTTAGTTAGTGCTACACTAAAAAATAGTTTTTAGAAAAATAAACCTTTTAAAAATTTCAAAAGTAATATTTTGGAAAACATTGATTTAGGATGCAGATTTTCAATATTAACTTGAAAAAAATATATTTTTAGATGACCTTGTAAAACACGCAAATTTTACATAAAACTATTTTTTGTGTACAATTGTACAGATATTTTCTTGACTTTTACAAAAAAAATCAATTATTAGTAAAATTAATAAAACTTTTGTTCTTTATGATATGAGGGTCACAACAAGTATTTGCTTTAAAAATTTTCTAGTCCACATTTTTTTGTTAAACAGGTATAAATTCAGCTTTATCAGTTTTATATTAACAGTTTGAGAACTCTACAAATTCTAAATAATGGTGGTTATGGAATTATTTTAAAAATTGTGACAGGTGACGAAACATTTCTTTTTTTACGACGTTGCTACATGACAGGAAACTAGAGTGTGGGTCTTTGAAGATGACCCATTTCCAACAACCTTCAAAAGAACATGCAATGAAGAAAGTCATGGATGAAGTTTTCTTCAGAAGCATGGAACTTGTGAAAGCCATTAAATTAGAGGGACAGATCACAGTCACAGCCGCTTTGTACACCCAAGTTTGCCTTCCTGTTTTTCTTCAAGAGCTGTCAATAAGAGGATTAGTACTACATCACGACAAATCGTCCTGTCACAAGGCGGATCTCGCAATGTGACTTGATTATTTTTTAATTTGAAATAGTATTAACGATGTCGTTTTAATTCAGAAGCAGGAATTAATTGTGCCATCCACGTGTATTTTGACTCCATCTCTGTCAACGAGTGGAGAGGTGCCTTCGATAAGTGGAAAAATCGGTTTGCGTTGATTAGGGGGGAGTACTTCGAATATACGTGAATTTTCATTACCATAGTTCCTATAGTTTTTGTTAATCTTATTCATATGAGTTTTAATATTTTCATAAGAAGAAAGTCATACAAACAAAATATATAATACAGATTAATTTACGTATTTACTCTTTAATTTACAACAATTTTACAAGAAACCTACCAACACAGAAACTAAAAATATGTCTGAGGGATATTGCTGCCAGGAATCATGAAAATTTACTAAAGATTTAAATCACCACTCGGATTTATAATTTAAAAATTCACAAGAACAAATTTGGAATAGGTAGTATAATTTCACCATGTTAAAATAGCATGTTGCTAAAGAATCTTTAAACATGCTGGGACAATGTATGTTTTTGTATAACCTGAAGGAACCTGAATTATATGAAATACAATTTTGAAGATACTCATGACATCTGCTTTCTTCTACAACCAAAGAAATCACTATTGCTATCTTAAGTTATTTTAATCTAAGAAACTTTTTTTAAGTATTATTTTTTATATTCAGTTACTTTATTGTTAAAAGTGTCTAGTGTTTTACTATAAATTAGGTATATATACTTACTTGTTCTTAACCTTAGTAAATTTACAAAAAAGAAAATCCTTTATTTAATATGAATTGAATATGTTGTCAGTTTGCTTTCAACCGCCCCCAGGCGTACCTGAAAAACTTCTAAAAATTTGAATAAATAAAAGAATTTTTTGTTTCTAAAACTGAAGCGGAAATAAATAATAAATTCTTTGAAAAATTAAATATCTATTCCAGCAATACCCATAATTTGTTACTTAATATATAAAAAATTTACATTTGATAAATAAACAGTGACTGGTTGCATGTTAAAATACTAGCTGAAAAATATCTTAAATGTATTTAATTCATATTAGAAAAACTATCTTATTGAATTTTTTTTTAATCGAAATCTCAAAAAATTACTTATTTGACTTAACAAAGCTCATATTTTTATCAAGGATTTATAACTATATCTGACTACCTATGTAAGTAACTATAGGTATAAACAAAACAAAAATATTAGATGCTTTTTAATAATTTATTTTCTATACTTGCACAGAGTCTCATCCCATTTGTTGTTATAATTACCTATGTATTAAATAAGCTGCAATGTTTCTTTTAGGTAATCCAAAATAATAGAAGGTATTTTTTTATATTTGACTCCGTACAATAAAAATAAAACTATTCAGGCGATTGTAATCCATGAATCATTAGGTCACCATAAAATAAGATTGGAAGCAAATTTTTGAAATCCCCTCTTGGCATGTTATAATTTTTTTAGGGGGTAGATTTCGAAAATTTGGTTTTAAGTTTATGTTATGGTCACCAAACGATTTATGAATTACAATAGCGGAAAAGTTTTTTCTAAAAACACTTCTTTTTTCCTAGTTTTCGTGTACTATCAGCTTAAAAATTATAGTCCTAAGATCCGACCATGTGACTACTGCACTCATCTTTTTTTCATTATAATTAATTATTTGACAGCTGTACATTTTTGTTTTCAAGCCTACTTTGTTGAAATATTGTAAATTAAATAGATACCATGGCTGGAAAATTTTAAATGCAAATTTTTCGAAATTTATTGAATTTATGCTATTAAACAAGTATGCGTTTTTTGTTTAAATTTTAGAAATGCCAAATAAATAGTTTTTTTTATCCAGTAGATAGGTGACCCCCTATAATCTTGATAATATCATGTTTATGATAGGACACGTTTTTAATATCATCAAGGCGTTTTTTAATTCATCGCAGGTTTAAGCAAACTTTTATTTAACCGTTTGTATTTTCATTGTTGAAAAAAATCGTTCAAAGCATCCATCAAGATTGAACACCGATGAATGTAATGGTGGATATCTCCACCTTTATTGTTTTCTGTCACTATTGTGAGGTTAGGGGGTTTTAAAATTGAAATTTAATACTTTTTTTTCATTGAATTATGAAGGAATTTATTTTATTCAAATTAATCAATCGAGAATAGTTATCAAGTTCTTCATCAGAAAAACCAACATTTTGTAGTAACTGTGGTGTGGTTAATAACTTCGACTAAGTAGATCCTCTGTAGAGGTATTTTTTTTATATATGTTGTTGCTTGTCAACAGTTTTTTATTTATCTGAAAATTCAATCGCCATTCCATCAGATTCATCAGTGACGTCACGATGGATTTAATCGATGAATTTTACATTGACTTGGAAAACTAGCCCAAAAATATAACCATACAAAAATTCAAGTTAGTACGTTAAATAATAACGAAAATATTGCAAAAATACAATAAAATAATTTTTACTTAAACACCCTGTATTTCAGAAGTGGATAACATTTGATCCAGTGTTATTTAGGAAAATATATATTAATATTTTAAGGTCCTGAACTATGGTTAAAATATTTACCATTATTTAGGAAACACTGGTATATGTATTTTTTTAATTTTGTAGGATACATTACAAAAGAAATTAAATATTGTATATGATAACCGTAATCGTTAGTGGATTCCACTGTTTTTTGATACATACTTATCTCTCTTTGAAATGAATTATATTTTATCTTCAAAACAAGGGAACGAATTTGAAAAAAAAAACTTAAATTTTAATTGCAGTCATATTTTGAAAGGCAACCCGGTCAAACCGTATTTCTCTCTCAATAATTATCTATAAAAATCGTATTTTGATTAAAAAACAGATGAGTGCAATAATCTGAGACTATATCCACTGGCACAAAGAAAACAATAGTATCTTGAGATACCTTGAGCACTTCCTAGATATTTTGAACACTGTAGTAACTCAATATACTATTGTTTTCGCGCTAAATCTTGGACACAATTCAATTTACAACATACGTAAATTATAATTGCCTATAATATTGTGTTTAGAGGTACTACAGTTTACCACGCTAAAAATACGCCACTGATGGTTTAGAATATACTTGTAACTCAATTAAGTCAAAAACTGAGCTACTACAGTCTTTGTTGCAGTCGTCGATATATTTTTTTATCCCACAATTATTATTTTAGCAAAAGAAGACAAGTCTGCTAAGGATGAATCTAAAGTGGAGCTCAAGGATGCCATTATTAGAAAAGCCAAAAAAATATTCCTACAATTGTTGGAATGTCCGCTTTGTAAAGAGTACATGTCTCCTCCTATCTACCAATGTTTGACGGGCCATACGATTTGCAACACTTGCAAACCGAAATTAACGAAATGTCCAACTTGCGAAGAACTTATTCAGAAGACTCGCAACTATACTTTGGAAGAGCTATCGAAGAAAGTGGAGTTACCGACGGAAGAGAAAAAATCCAAGAACGAAATGAACTTTAAGAGAAGTGTCGATGAAAATGGCACTGAACCTGACGTACCAGCTAAAGTCCAAAAGAGTTAATTTTTTTCACTGTGGTAGTCCAATGTTTGAATTCTTTTGTACTGCACCGATTTATATGAAAATTTGTAATTAAGCTTATCTTACCTTTCTCTTCAAAGTTATATCTTCCTGATGTGTGCTTTTTATTTTTAGGGGTTGAGAGTACCCCTTTTTCAATACGCCTTACCATAAGTGCATATGAAAACTAGAGAGTTAGCATTAGTGCGAGCAGAAAACGGACAATATCAGAGTTGCCAGTTTATACAGCCCAGTCAACTTTACAACGCAGTCTAGGCCTATAATACCTGTAAAGTTACTTTTCGCCTTAGCGATTTTTTAATTTAAAGGGCTCTTGGTAAGGTGGTACTCGCACTCCAATTCAAACTACTCAAGTAATTTTTACTCTGCAGTTTTAATTCTTAGGTTTTGTGTTATTGTAATTTTTTTTTTTTTCGAAATTTTCCTCTAAAAATTGTCGTTTTTTCGTTATAACGTTGAAATATTTCAATTCAGTCACCTTCAACGAGCCATAACTCGGTTCTTATTGTATCTTCAGAAAAAAAAAAAATCTATTCTTTTTATTCATGATTTTTTAAAAAGCTTTCATTTGTTCTGCATTATTTTTTTTATAAAACAAGGTTTTTGTGTTATTCATGAAAAATCACTGTAAAACATGCATTTTTTGAATGAAAAATCATAATTTTTAATCGCGAATAACTTAAAGTTTTTTGCGTTAATTTCCT